CTTCCTGCTCATCAGGGAGTCTGCTTCTCCCTCTGACCCTCTTCCCTCTCGTGCTTTCTATCTCTCATTCTCTCTCTCTCTGAAATAAATAAATAAAATCTTTAAAAATAATAATAAATAAAAATAGTTTCTCCTTTAAAAAAATAATAATAAAATAAAATTATCTCTATAATGTGTAATTAGACTAGAGGGATCTTGATTGCCTAATATTTAGAGAAATGCTAATTGTTTGATAAATTCATAATTTAATGAATTGGAAATGAAATAAAAATGGCAACAAGTCTTCCTCTGTACACAAAATAGCTCCACATGCCTGGCTCCAATATCCCCTGAACAAGACTGTACTGCGGGGTAGGGGTGGGGGCAAAGGGGGCTGTTGTCTGGGGCAGGTGGTTGGACCCTAACCAACCTGGTTGGACCTCTGAACAGTCCAGGTGGGCTTTTGTGTGAAATGTAGGCAAGCCTCTTACCAGGAGATACATTCTTACAGGCCTCACCGGCCACAGCTAGGGAGATGCAAGAACTATTCCCTCCCATCTCTGTGAGAGAAAGGTCTACACTGTTTCAAATTGGCAGCATCAAATGAGATGTTAGTAATTCTTCTGTATCTGGTGTTTCCAAACCCACATGCTTCAAACTTGCATAAAATATATGTACACGTCCAGCTGGATGCAGAATGCAACATGGAGGCGGGGAGGCGCCTGGGTGGCTCGGTCAGTTAAGTGTCTGACTTCAGCTGAGGTCATGATCTCAGGGTCCTGGGATCAAGCCCCATGTTGGGCTCCCTTTCCCACTCTTCCTCTCTCTCTCTCAAATACATAAATAACATCTTTAAAAAAAAATGCAACATGGAGGATAGAGGAGTCAGAGCTTAGGCCCAAGGTAGGTCAGGCTGACCTGAGTTTGCAGCTGGGTTCCTCTGACTAACCTGTGTGGTCTTGGGCCCCGATGTCCCCTGTCTGTGACTTAAGTTTCTTCACATGTAAAGTACTGGACTAAGAATGCACAGCGCCGGGTTTTGGGGAGTATCAACATTCAGCTCCCGGCCCAGGCAGCCTTGCATTAATGTTGGGCACCTCTGTGACTTGTGGAAAACCCCACACCTGTCTTGGGCCACACCCCTAACAGTGTGACAGCCCTCCGTAGCTGGCAGTCAGAAAGTGCCTCTAGCCACCAGCACCCTCCCACACTCCATCTAGCTCAGAGGGTTCCGTTCTTGACTGCTGCAGGAACCAGAACCTCACTTGCTCCTGCCCTACCTTTCATCTCTCAGGATGGCTTGTGGAGTGGGCAGGGATGAGGAAGCTGGTACTGCCGGCCATACCTCAGGTGTCTAGCCTGCCCAGGCCGGGCTTGGAGTTGCCAAGTGTTCCCAGGTGGGTGCTCCTATTAGAAGGTTGCCTCATGTTCTAGATGGTCCAGGGCTTATCCTGACAGACTGGGTGTCTTTGTTCATAGGTCTGGATGGCCTTAAATTGTTGTGGGCATAAGACATTTGTAAAGAACCATAGAGTTGTTATTAAAGAAGAGAAATTTGTCATACTTTGTGATCTACTTTGAAATACTTAAAAATAATATACTGTATTGTTAGTATTCATTTTCTTAACTCTAAAACTCAGAAATCAATTTTTTTGGGAAAAAAAGTTGTTTGAAAAGTAACTGTTAGAAACTAAGTTAAAGATTTGATCCTGACAATTGTAGAACTTCACATTTGGCTCTGTAGAGTCTTCTAATTGTTGGCTAGGTCTTTGCTTCCTCTTGTGTATATATCCCTCTATTAAATATTTTACTATAAAGTATATTTAGGTATTTCCTGGTGGCTGTGCATAGGTATTTGTTCTATTGAGAGTTTTTTCCCCCCTGGTCTCAATATGGATTCTCCAATTCTCCGTCACCAACTGGCTGTACAACAGTTTGATTCAGTTGTGACACAAACTGCCCAGAGTCAACACAGATCCCACAGGTTCAGGGTTCAGTCCCATAGGAACAGCCCCACTTCATATGCCAGCCACAAGTGGGGTGCCCAATCTACTCACATTTCTGCCTAGCACACTACTAATCTATGGTTCTCACATCCCCACAGTGCTGCCCTAGGTTTGGTCATTCATTAGAACAAATCACTGAACTCAGCAAAGTGTTTTATTTACTATTCCCTGTTTATTGTAAAGAATGCAACTTAGAAACAGCCCAAGGGAAGGGATGCATAGGGCAAGGTATAAGGGTGGGGAGGTGGGCAGGGCTTCCTTCTCAGTGCACACCACAATCCCAGCACCTTGATGGATGTGTTCACCAACCAGGAACTGTGAGAGATTTTATGGAGTTTCAATTATTGATGAAATCATTGAGCATTTGTGATTAAAGCCAATCCAGCCCCCTCTCCCTTCCCCAAAGGTTGTAAGTAAAACAGTGGGGGTAACCCTGTGGTCACAGGCTTGGTTCCTCTGGCAACCATCCCCTATCTTGAAGGCCCCTTTCTGACCCAAGTCACCTCATTAACATAAATTCTGGTTTGGTTGAAAGGGCAAGTGAGGTTCTGGTTCCTGCAGCAGTCAAGAACGGAACCCTCTGAGCTAGATGGAGTGTGGGAGGGTGCTGGTGGCTAGAGGCACTTTCTGACTGCCAGCTACGGAGGGCTGTCACACTGTTAGGGGTGTGGCCCAAGACAGTTGTGGGGTTTTCCACAAGTCACAGAGGTGCCCAACATTAATGCAAGGCTGCCTGGGCCGGGAGCTGAATGTTGATACTCCAAACAACCATGAGCTTTTTTTTTTTCTCTTTTTAAAGATTTTATTTATCCATTTGACAGAGAGACACACAGCGAGAGAGGGAACACAAGCAGGGGGAGTGGGAGAGGGAGAAGCAGGCTTCCCACGGAGCAGGGAGCCCGATGCGGGGCTCGATCCCAGGACCCTGGGATCATAACCTGAGCCAAAGGCAATCGCCCAACCAACTGAGCCACCCAGGCGCCCAGGATTCTCAACTCTTAACAAAACATGTATTAAAAGGGAAGACTTCAGGAGCCTGAAGAACAATCAAAGAGGCCTCACCTTATCGTTTTAATTACAATCAACAATAAAAGGTTGGTTCATAAATAGTAACTGAAATTTGCTTAGTGTGTATTTATTCACCTTTTAATTTTTTCGAGGGTTATTTAAATGAGTGAAGGAATGAAATCATACTGCTAGCTAATTTTCATCCCTAGCCTGATCCATTTGGTCTCCCTGTACACCAGAGAGCCAAAAAACACCCCACAACGTTGTGATTTAACAATAAACACTGCGTGTTCATTAACACCATACCAAGTATTAGGATTAGATGTTTAACATGCTTTATCTCATTTAATATTTTTTTTAAGTTTTATTATTTGAGAGAGAGAGAGAGAGTGCAAGCGAACAGGGTGGAGGGGCAGAGAGAGAATCCCAAGCAGACACCACGCTGAGTATGGAGCCAGACACAGTGCCGATCCCAGGATCCTGATAGTTGGATGCTCAAACCACTGAGCCACCCAAGCGCCCCCCGTGTTATCTCATTTAATTTAATCATCACAACATCCTCATGCATCGTTATCCCCATTTTACAGCTAAGGGAAATTTCTCTAAAGTTCAACTAGAGACCACCCTATTCCAAAACTTTTCGTGGAATTGTGTAAGATGAGCTGGTTTCAAGTTCTAGGCTCAGCCACGTACTAGCTTCAAAATAGGGGAAGGCGAGGGGGAAGATGCCCAACGGGATCCGAGCTCCGTCGGAAGGATTAAACCGCACCATGGCAGTGGAAGCTCTTTGCAAACTTCCTTCCTTACCAAGGGCTAAACAAAACCGGCTACCCGCTGAGGTACAGGGATGGATTAAAAGTCGATCGCGAACAGCTTAGAGAAGTTGCACGTGGCGCTTGCAGGACCTCTGATTTGGGAGACTACCGCCTCGCAGAAGCCTTTCCTCAGCCCGGCCGGGGTCCGGGGTCGCTCCACATTTCCCAAGCCCTCGGACGCCGAAGGCTCCTAGAGGTCCCTGGCCGACGCAACTCGCTAAGGCGCGGACCCGCGGAGATCTAGACCTCCCTCTCCTGCACATCGACAACTGGGGCAGTGGGCCTGGGCGAGGTTGATCTGAATCCTGGGTTCCACACTCTCCTTAGCGATCCCCCAAAAGAAAGAAACAAACAAAAAATGGAGCCAAGTTTTCTTATCCAACTTTCTACTCTCTCCCACGGGGGCTGGTCTCTTTCTCCCACTTTGGGCCAGGACTCCTCCGGCCACGAGCACACAGTGCTGCAAAGTACCCCCGACCACAGCAGTGGGGACGCTGCGGCTTCCCGAGCTCTAACCTCAAGCGGGGCTGTTGAGGCCTAGCCCCGGGCCGGGCTGTCTAGACAGCGTACGTCCTAAGCCCCGGCAGTCCAGCGAGTGAACCGAGCCCGGAGCCTCCCGCTCCCCAGGCCCGGCGCCAGGCGCACGCGCTCACCACCTCTGCGATCCCGCGGCCCCGCCACCCCTCGGAGCGCGTGCGCCTCGGGCCGGAAAGTCGCGCTGGGGGAGCGGAGATGCCTGAAAGGGGCTTTTAATCAATAGCAGAAGATACTCCTAGGACTCAGGAAATCCCAAGAGTTTTAGGAGTGCTGTGCCAGAAATCAGGGACAGAGACCAAATATATACTTGTTATTATACCATATCTGTAATAGTATGTCTACCTTTAATGTTTTTCTCTTGATTTCTATGAAAAAGAGACTGAACGTGGGGATTTAGCCAGGAATGAGGAATAACAAGCAGGTGGGGGTGGTGGGGGTGGTGGGGAGCCAGCCGGCTGCGCGTGGGGTTGGCCCCAGCGCTCAGACCGGATCCCCTCCTACCGGGAACAACTAGGGCAATCAGATGACCAGATGAAGAGTGTTACTTGCCTGCGCTGACCAATGACAAAACTGGAAAATTTAGTCATGAGTTTGAAAACAATCCATGGATTGGGGAAGTCCAGTGCCTCCCAAGCAGGGAAGCACTCTTCCCAGGGGATTTGGGGGCCCCGATAAATGAATTATTATGGCCTACCGTGTTGTAGATACTGCTGCCAGCGCCTCACACGTGTTCACTCATTTATCGCTCGTGACCCCTGTGAGGAGGGTGCTGTTGCTTGTCTCTGTGCCTTTCCCAAGACCCTTGAGGAAGGAGTAGTGTGGCCGCAGTACCAGCCTGCTCTGGAGTCTTCTGGCCCAGGTTCCGGAAGAGCCGCCTGGGCACCGAGGGCGCTGTGAGGGAAGCCCCAGGTGGCCGAGGCCTCAGAGGAGAGAAGTCCAGGTGGGACGCGGTCCCTAAGTGCCGCCAGGTGTGCTGTGGGCCTGACGTGAGCCACGGCAGGTGATGCCCCCGAGGCTGCGAGAGCCGTGGTGTCTCTGGGCATTGCGGTGCCGATTCCAGTTTGGCAATCTTTTCCCACAGTGGGCCACGCATGTGATTATCTTCCAGGAAATGGTCGTTCCTGTTGTCACTGTTTCTCTGCCCTGTGGGGCCTAAGGAACCCCATGTGAGCCCCGAGGGAGCGCAGCCCCTTTGTGGCACCAGTGTGCACTCAGGTCTGTGCCCACTGTGGTCCAGTCTGCGCCCCTGAACAGAGCAGGTTGTTAGCTTCTTTCACTCACTTGCACCTCAGCTGTACCTTTCAGGAGACACTCTGGCCAGCAAAGGAGCCGGACCGGTGTGAACACAGCAGCAGAGACACAGGCTGGCCACCCCTGCTTTGGCCCAGGCCGACCTTCCTCTGGTGCACACAGTAGATTCCATATCGTCTGACAACTGGTACAAGGCCCATTCTCCTGCCCTACACAGAGTAGGTCCTTTTTATCTTAAGGCTGTTGTAACCTCTGGTACCAGAGACAGCCTAGATAGAAGCTTGGAGTGGATGGATGAAGCAGCAGAGGATGACACTGGCCACCCCACTGGGACCAAGTGCTCCTGCCATGTCTCGTCACATCCGTTAAGACCTTCTGGCCCTGCTCTCCAGCCTTCCCTGGGCTTCTGTGCCAAGCTGCTCATTGCCTGGTGGCAGCCTAAGCCTCTATATCTACTTTGCTTGTATGTATGGTGCCGTGAGTGGGTATTAAGTGGTGGTCATTCCCTTGATGAGGAGTATTGCATTCCTGTGTACCCAGTTCAAGCGACCCCGAGTAGTGAGGCTGTGTCATTGCATTTCCTAGCAGACAAAGCTAGCATCTGGGATGTGGACTGAAGAACTCCACTCAATCAACAAAATACCACGTGCCGAGGATGCATGGGGTGCGGTGCAGGGACATGTGGTCGACTAGAACCTGGGTCTTTGGATCCCAGAGCCTGTAGAGTGAGAGGTGGCCACTGACAGGCTGTGTGGCCTGGGGCAAGTCCCTAGAACCACCCATCTCCTGTGGATTGGTTTCCTTCATTGTAAAGTGGCACTGATGATTGCACCCACCTTGAAAGACGTTTGTGGAGATTAAACCAGAAAAGTGCAGGAAAGGACCCCACAAGAGTTACCTGTTGTCTCCGAGACTGGCATCTTGGCTCTAGCGGTAAGAGCCTATTTCTTCATCTGCATGTCCATCCCACCTCAAAGTGTCATTGAATGGGATCATCGTCAACAACAGGAATAAAATGGTACCTGACAACCCTCATGGGGACCCTTGGGGCCAGACCAAGGCCAGTACTTGTCACTTGACAGCCTGTCTCCTCATCACATCTGACAAGGTGGATTATAATCTTGTTTCCACTTCATGGTGAAAGAAACCCTGGCTGAGAGAGGTGCTTTAGCCACGAATTATTTAGCCTACCCCATCATTGCCAGTATCAAGTCAGCGGGCAGAGATAAAAAGATCTCACTGTGGATCCGGAGATTTACAGGTTCACCAGCACCTTATACAAATCCCTGCTTCCTCAAGCCCAGCCAGCTTGGGGCATTCACAGTTTTTGCTGTTACATTTGCAAGGACTAAAACATAATTATTTGCTTTTTGTATTCCCCACCCCCAGGGTAGAAACTCAGTTAATTATTATTAATTTGATAGATCACATTTTTTTTTCTTTTTTTTTAGGTAAACTCTATACCCAACATGGGGCTCAAACTCATGACCCTGAGATCAAATTGCATGCTCCACTCACTGAACCAACCAGGAGCCCCAGATCATAGGCATTTTTTTCTCTCTCCCACTTTGATCACACACATACTTTATTCTTATTTCATTCAGTTGATCTTTCTGCTTTTTCTTGTTCCATACCACTCTAATTAGCATAGCTTAGTAATAAGTTTTAATATCCGATAAGGAATTTTCTCCTTACTTTTATTTCAAAACATGCTTGGCTAGTCGTCTTAGTCTGTTTGGGCTGCTATAACAGAATGCCACTGACTCAACGGCTTATAAACCACAGACAATTATTTCTCACAGTTCTGGAGGCTGTGAAGTCCAAGATCAAGGCCCTGGCCGATTCCGCATCTGGTGAGAGCCTGCTTCCTGGTTCACAGATGGCCATTTTTTCCACTGGGTTCTTATGTGGTACTAGGGGCAAAGGAACTTTCTCAGGCCTCTTTTATAAGAGCACTGCTCATTCATGAGAGCTCTGCCCTCCTAATCTAATCACCTCCCGAAGGCCCATCACCAAATACCACCACATTGGGGATTAGATTTCCACATGAATTTGGTGGGGACACAAGTATTCAGACTGGAGCGCCAGTCAAGTGTCAGAACTCTCCCCAGTTCTACCTTCCCTCTCCCCACAAAACCCCCCACTGTTTAGGAAGAGCAGTGAAAAATGGTAGAGGGCACCATACTTTTGTCATGTTCTTTTAGAGTGGCTGCTGTTGCCGCAATCCCTGTAGTGGGTGGCGGACACCCTTGTGGGTGGACCATGAATCCCATGAATAACAGCTCTTGGCCTAGGGAATAAATCATGCCTGGCACACAAACGAGTTTTCGGAATACAGTCAGTTGCTATAGTGGCAGCTCATATGGTGAAGTTTCTTTCTTTTTTTTTAAGATTTTATTTATTTATTCATGAGAGACAGAGAGAGAGAGAGAGAGAAGCAGGCTCCCAAGGAGCAGGGAGCCCGATGTGGGACTCGATCCCAGGATCCCGGGATCATGACCTGAGCCGAAGGCAGATGCTTAACGACAGAGCCCCCCAGGCGCCCTCAGATGGCGACTAAGTCCATGGGGTCTTCTTGTCCCATCTTTCCCTGACCGCTCATGGTAAGTGCCCCGCCCCACCCCTTGCCTGTTCGGGCCTATGCTTTCAGGTTTAATGGGTCAGGATGAGTTTTTCTCTTTCAGCAAATGAATCATGATGATCAACGGTGCTGGTAACGAGAAGCGTCTCGTGGTCATCTCCCTCCTCCCTCTCTGGCTCTTTTCTCTAGATTGTGCTCATCCTTGGTGAGGGTGCTCTGAGGACGCACGGACATGGTTGGGGCTACCCTGTAGTGGGACCCCGGCTGAGGTGGTGTCTCCTGTGTTTCCTAACACGCCACCCATCCAAGGGAGGCCAAGCAGAGCCTCATGGGCTGGAGCCACAGGCCGGGTCTCGCTGTGGGGGGTTGGATGACAGGAAGCTCATAGGGAGGAACTTCTAAGGAAGGGTGTGGGGGGACACCTCTGGGAAGGGTGGACTAGGCAGAAACTTCTGGGGAGGGAATGGGGTGGGGAGACCTTCTGGGAAGCGTAGGGGGAGTCCTTTTTTTTTTTTTTAAGATTTTATTTATTTATTTGACAGAGAGAGACACAGCGAGAGAGGGAACACAAGCAGGGGGAGTGGGAGAGGAAGAAGCAGGCTTCCCGCCGAGCAGGGAGCCCGATGCGGGGCTCGGCGCCAGGACCCCGGGATCATGACCGGAGCTGAGGGCAGACACTCAACCGACTGAGCCACCCAGGCGCCCCGATAGGGGGAGTTCTGATCATAGCTTGAGAGGGTGGATTTGAAGGGACAGCAGATGTGGGAGGAGGGGAAATCTCCAGGGTGTGTCTAGTGCTGGGGAAGAGGGGGACTACTGGCAGACTACTACAGGGGCAGGACGGGATGGGTGGGGCCTTCACAGAGTGGGAAGCGGGATGGAGCACACACACACGGCCAGACACTTGCTCAGATAGTGTTAGTATCGCCGAGACCACGGAAAGCACAAGTCTCCTGTGAAAATGAACTGCCTCCTTGAGCACCCATGGCCCATTAGGAGGGTCTACCCATAGGCATCTCCCATTGTGGGAGGAGGCCGCGGCCTGTGCAGACCCCAGAAAAAGCCCTTGATTCCCCAAAAGATGGTGCCCACTTGAGGAATTGGAGTTGGCGATGGGCATGGGTTGGTGGGACTTCCTAGGTGTGGTTCCAGATGGTAAACAGGATTATGTGGATGAACATCTGTTAATTTAGAAGTTATCTATTTTAAGGTGACCTGAAACAATGTTTACTTGTTTATTGTATGATGTGAAGCTTGCTTTAAAATTAATGTACGGGCTTTAAAATTAATAGGGCTCTGTGCTCAGCACAGAGTCTGCTTAAGACTCTCTTTCCCTGGGGCGCCGGGGTGGCTCAGTTGTTGAGCGTCTGCCTTTGGCTCAGGTCATGGTCCCAGGGTCCTGGGATCGAGCCCCGCATTGGGCTCCCTGCTCCTTGGGAGCCTGATTCTCCCTCTCCCACTCCCCCTGCTTGTGTTCCCTCTCTCGCTGTGTCTCTCTCTGTCAAATAAATGAATAAAGTCTTAAAAAAAAAAAAGAGGCTCTTTCCCTCTCCTTCTGCCCCTCCCCGACCTCACATGGGGCGTGCTCTCTCTCTTAAAAAAAAAAAAAGGTCAAAAACAAAGCTGATGCCACAAGGAGGAGTGTTTGGGTCCACTGATCTAGGGCAGTGTGTGTGCAGCCCACTGTCCTCACAAGGAGACCTGGCCCCTCCTGCCATGGGAGGGGCAGGAGAGGGAGAGAAGCAGATTCCCACTGAGCAGGGAGCCAGATGTGGGCTTGATTACCCGATCCCGAGATCATGACCCGAGCCAGGTGCCCAACTGTCTGAGCCACCCAGGTGCCCCTTGAGTATGAACATTCTTGCACATGTACTTGTTTCGAGTAACTGTTTTCAATTCTTTGGCATATGTATCTGGAGTGGTGACTAAAGCTTTAGCAAGATCCCTTTAACTGTGTGGGGCAAACAGCACGGAGGGGAGGACGCGGTTGGGGGGAAGCCAGTTCAGTTGAGGGGCTAGAGCTGTGACGTGAAGAACAAAGATGGTAGCAGTGGAAGAGTGAGGGGTGGCCAGATGGCGAACCCTAGATGAAGATCATGGGGGCCCCCCTCGGTTTCCGCTCTGCGCACCTAGAAGGATAGAGTTACCACTGAGTGATATGGGAAGTGGCTGGAGGGGTAGGTAGCATTGAGCCAATGAAGTCTAAGCTGTCTGGAGACGTCTGCCAAGGGACAGTTAGCCGTGGGAATCAGGAGCTGAGGGTGACGTGACTGTGGTGTAAGGGCTGGCCAAAGTGGAGGGGAGGGAAGGGCATGTCCTTAAGGCAGGGAGAGCCAAACAGGTATGAGGGATGAACAGCAGTCTCGTGGATGGAGATGGAACTTCTTGGGAATGTGTGTCCACTCTTCTAGTGACTCTGGGTTTGGGCCTGGGTCCCCCTTAACCCTGGGCACTAATAGAATCCTGCCTGTTCCGCCCCCTCCCCTGAATCTGTTCAAAGCAAGGATGGAGAGATGATCTGGGCCTGGCTGGACAGGCGTGTCCCTGTCTTAAGGACCTATGACCTTTGAGGACACGGTCATGGCCTTCACCAGGAAGAAGTGGGGGCAGTTGGAGCTTGCCCAGAGGACCCTGTACTGGGAAGTGAAGCTGGAGAGGCTTTAGAGCCCCACACTGCTGGGCGAGGCCAAGCTCTGCCCCTCCCTTCCATTTGTGCCTAAAATTCAACAGTATTACGTGTAGCAATCACTTGCTCTTGGTCATTGCTGTGTGCAGAGTATTTCACTGCATGCATAGCCAGTGTAATTATCCATACTGCTGTTGGTGGGTGTATCAGTAAGTGCCCAGTCAGGAGGCAGAAGCCGGACAGTAATTTGAACAGGGTAAATTTGATATAAGAAGTTATTAACTATAGGGGTGCCTGGGTGGCTCAGACGGTTGAGCATCTGACTCTTGATTTTAGCTCAGGTCATGGTCTCAGGGTTGTGAGATGGAGCCCCGCATCTGACTCCGTGCTCAGCAGATAGATTTAGAAATAAATCTTTTTATTTTTTTTTAAGATATTTTTTTTTTGACAGAGACAGCAATGCATCCCCTAGAAATAAATCTTTTTTAAAAAAAAGTTATTGACTATAGGGACGCCTGGGTGGCTCAGTTGGTTAAGCGGCTGCCTTTGGCTCAGGTCACGATCCCAGGGTCCTGGAATCGAGTCCCACATTGGGCTCCCTGCTCAGCAGGGAGTCTGCTTCTCCCTCTGCCTGCCGCTCCCCCTGCTTGTGCTCTCTCCCTCTCTGACAAATAAAATCTTAAAAATAAATAAATAAAAGTTATTAACTATAATAGGGGAGTAACTCTTTTAAAATCCTAGGGCTGAGAGAGAGAGAGTGCCCAAAGTAAGAATAAACCTTCAAGTGGGAGCTCTCTCAAGGTTGGGGTTCAGACTTTGTTGGGGAACGGGTGTTTGCAGCATACTGGGTGGCCGAGAAATTCTCTGGGTTGCCCATGCCAAGCAGGAAACACCTTGGTGTGGCGGTGGGCTGAGGCGATAGGGAGGTACACAGAGGGAGTTAAGGTGCAACTGCAGGTCCAAGGCCTACAGCATGCAGTATCTGTTGCAAGAGACATTGGGAAGCTGCTTGCCAGCAGGGTACCTTGGGGTACATGGTATCCACATCAGGAGGGTACCGTGGTGAGGTGGTTACTAGGTCAGGCCAAGGCTTTGAGCTAGCCAAAAAGAATGCCTGCTTTGGGCAGAGTCTTCCACACGTACTGCTGTGGTAGCAGGTAGAAGAGAAACAGGAAGACACCCTGTAGTTTCCCTCCAGTGCCCTCTACTGACAAAGCTTAATATGTTGACTGCAAAGGAGAACCGACTACAGGGTCCAGCCCATTAATGCAGACAGGTAATGGTATGGAGCGGAGAGGCGATACATTGATAACTGCAGTGGGCTTGGGCTGTTTTCTGATTTTTTCGCTTTTATAGATAGTTGCTCTAAATGTTTCTGTACATGTCTTTTGGCGCTCATAAGCATTCATTTCTTAAGATCTTATTTATTTGAACAAGAGAGAGACAGAGTGATCGAGTGAGCTGCAGGAAGAGCAGAGGGAGAGGGACAAGCTGACTCTGTGCTGAGCGCAGAGCCTGACCATGGGGCTCAATCTCACAACCCTGAGATCATGACCTGAGCTGAAACAAGCATTCATTTTTGTTGGGTGCATGCCCAGGAGTGGAAATGCTGAGTAAGAGTATACATAGATTTAGCTGTGGCAGATACTGCCAAGGTTTTCCAAAGTCACTATTTGCTTCATTTATTTTTTTTTAATTTTTTATTTATTTGCTAGAGAGAGACACAGCAAGAGAGGAAACACAAGCAGGGGGAGTGGGAGAGGGAGAAGCAGGCTTCCCGCTGAGCAGGGAGCCCAGTGCGGGGCTCAATCCCAGGACCCTGGGATCATGACCTGAGCCAAAGGCAGACGCTTAATGACTGAGCCACCCAGGTGCCCCTCATTTCTTACTTCTAAAAATTTTATTGAAAAACACTATCACCATTTTAATCCACACTCCCAATTCATCACTGGATGCAGGCCAGTTTTATATTTTTGGCCATGAGTAGTACTAAATCCATTAATAATACATGGTTGTATTGAATTTTCTATGCTGTTTAACAAATTGCCACAAACTTAGTGGCTTAAAACATCAATTTATTAGCTCACCGTTCTGCAGGTCAGACATCTGGGAGACATTGGCTGGGTTGTCCACACACAGTATCACAAAGCTGAAATCAAGACGTTGGCTGGGCTAGGCTCTTATCTGGAAGACCTGGGAATTACCTGCTTCCAAGCCCTTTCAAGTTGTTGGCAGATAGCAATACTTTGTGGTTGTAAGACTGAGGTCTCTGTTTCTTTGCTGGCTGTTAGCAAGGGGTTGTTCTTACCTTCCAGAGGCCACAGTGTGACTCCCTCTGTCCTCAAAGCCTGCAGTGGTGCATCAAATCTTTCTCATGCTTCGACTTTTTTTTAAAAAAAAGATTTTATTTATTTTATTTGAGACAGAGAAAGAGAGAGGAAGAGAGAGCATGAGCAGGGAGAGAGGCAGAGGGAGAGGGAGAAGCAGGCTCCCCGCTGAGCAGGGAGCCCGATGTGGGGCTCAATCCCAGGACCCTGGGATTGTGACTTGAGCCGAAGGCAGACGCTTAACCAGCTGAGCCACCCAGGCGTCCCTAAAAAATATTTTCTGTTGGAGAACTGCTTGGTGTTGTGGGGGGAGGGGAAGACTTGGAATTGGCTCAAGGAATCCAGTGTTGTTTTAAGGCAAAAGGAAAACAAAAGTCCCATGCTCTGTAGATGCAACAATCCTACTTTGGGAGACTTACTCTTAGGGAAATAAGCAGAGTCGCATCCCAAGGGTATGCTTGGGAGTGTGCATCACTGGTGATGCACTGGGTACCATGGGGTGAACAATGAACTATCTGGGCTTGGTAGGGAATGACACTGCTGGATAGAAAACGGAATTTTTACCCAGGCATTAAAATACATTTTTAATAACCGGGAAATGAGTGAGAAGAGCATGATATACACAGTAGCTCCACAAGATTTGTAAAACGCCCCTACGTGTGACTCCTGGAATAGTCACTGGCACGAGACAGTGGAACTCGGGGTCATTTCCCTTACCTGTGCTCTCTTGTATATTTCAAATTAGTCCAAGTGATCACAAACTGCTTTTAAATCACATGGCCCCAGTGACATCCGTTTGTGTACCCTTCCTCAGTGGCCACCCTCCTTTTCATCCATACTTGCGAAGGAAGTCCCCTTAGGGTCCACTCAAGCTGGGACTCAAGAGCTCAAAGACCAAGGAGACCAAGGAATGACATGGTGGCTGAAGAACAAAGGAGGCCAGGCGGCCAGGACTGCTGGCCCTTCTTGTGGGTCCAGCTGCCAGGCAGGAGTGGCACTGCTGATGTTCTGACCGGCAGAAAGCAGAGATCAGAATTCCTATGCAGAAACTTCCCATTATAAAAGTGGAATTTTTAAAAATCTCAAATGTGGAGGGTCGTTAGTTTTCCATCCGCCTGCAACCAGAAGCAAAGCATGCTCTTCTGAGCTTTCAGCACCTTCCACACCAAGACATCAGGCCCAGAAGCTTCAGGAAGGGTGGAAAGGGGCAGTTTCTGAGCATCCACCTGGGGCCACTAAGGTCCCAGGGGTAGGGAGAGTCCTTAGCCTGTCAGCCTGCATCAGGTCACAGCTGGGGATCTCAGAGCTTGGAAGTCACCAGGCTTAGGCAGTGGGTTCCAAGCCAGGCCCCCCCAGGCAGCTTCTTTTACTTACACCCAGGTGGCTGTTTTGGGGAGACTGAAATGGGGCAGGGGACCCTCCTGGAAACTGTGATTCACAGACAGAGGCTGAGCAGCCCTGGGAAGGCTGGAACCAGAGCCCCGGGAACGGTGTCCAGGCCCTGGAGGCTCCAAGGCCCCCAAGATGAGGCCGCCTTCTCGAGCCACTCATGGGGCTTCAGGCCGGTGGCTCTTCCTGTGGATGACCAGCTGGGACTTCCAGTCGAAGCCACGGCCGCAGTCTCCACAGAAGTGGCGCCGCTGACCCGCGTGGCTCTTGCGGTGGATGACCAGCTGCGACTTCCAGCTAAAGCTGCGCCCACACTCCTCACACGCATAGCTCCGGGGCCCTGGGAGCACGCGCCGGGGGTACCGGGGTGTGCCTGGCTCCTGGGAACCCTGTGGCAGCTTCTGAGCACCCCCGACGGCCAGTGCCGGGGCCCGTGTACCCTGCCCATCTGCATGCGTCCGGTGGTGGATGACAAAGACTGATTTCCAGTCAAAGCCTCGGCCACACAGCTCGCAGGTGTAAGGCTTCCTCCTCGGGGCACCAGGCTCCAGCTCTGCTCCCAGCATTGCCCTGGCAGACACACAGGCCCCAGACGGGCCCTCCCAGGTGACAGACCCCGGGCCCCGGGGTGGCTGGGCCTCTGGGCAGTGGGGCGGACCCTCGCAGTGCCTCTCACTCTCTTCTCCTGGGGGAAGGAGAGGTGGCAGTCCCAGGTAGCCCACTGCCCTTGACATTGGCCCACCCTCTCCCGCCAGGTGTGTGGGGGCGGACAAGCTCCCACCCCAACAGAGAACAGGTGGTTCAGGTCGCATGGAGAAGCACTCACCCGGGTGGAGGTTTCTTCGACCCTCTGTCCCTGTACGCACGGCCCCTGGCCCCGACTCAGCCCGTGCCTCCGGCGGGGGGGCTGGTATCCCTGCTGGGGTGAGGGACAGTCAGGCAGCAGTCCTGGCATGGGGGCGGGTGAGGGGCTCTTGCATACTAGGGGCAGGGTGGGGGCCCTGGTAGGTGACACGGTGCCCCCAGGTAACGAGCGGGAACTCGGGTAAGCGCTGGGAGACGTGCACAGGGAAGGGCCGGGCAGTGAGCCCTACAGCCAGTGGTATGCAGACACCAAAGGAGGGGTCATGGCTGGTCCTCACCCAGGGAGACCACCGTGCCGTACTTCTCCAGCATTGCGTCCCAGTATAGTTCCTTCTGTGACGGGTCCAGTAGCCCCCATTCCTCCTGTGGGGATGTGGCCCATCACCCTTGGTGCCTGTCCACCCCCCATCCTCTGCCCTGCTCTGCAGTGACCTACCCTGCCTGTGTCTCCCGGTCACAACCTTACTAATTACTTGAGGGAGAAGGCAGGTTACCTAAGGCTCTTTTGCTTGATAAGGATGAAGATGAAAAGGGTGTGTGAACGTTGGGAAACAGGGCAGAGAGGAGCTGTCTTCCAGCTCACTGGGGGGATGCTGTTAGCACCTGTCCCCCTCAGAAGCCCCACTCCATAGTCTAGCCAGACAGACTGGAGCTGAGAACCCCTTGATGGGTTCTGGGGGATGCCTAGGTGGGGGCCCGATAAGACTGTCCCCACCTCTTTGCCTTGAACAGTGTGCTGCATTGAGAGCAAAAGGCCTGCAGACCCAAGGGGATCCAGCCACCTCTCCCCAAGCCTCTGGTTACAAAAGTAACAGAGATCCTCCTTGGGGGAGCTGCTGAAGGCCGTCAGCATTCCTAGGTGTGGGGACCTGGCTGCGGGGAGGTTGAGGGCAGGAGGACTCACATTAGGAGGTGCAGCCAAGCATCTCAGGGTTCAGATGATGTGTGTGGGTGGGGCGGTGGGCTGGCTCCTGCCTGTTGCCAGAGGGTGAGCTCTGGTGGTCGAAGCAGGACCCTTGTGGACTTTACCAGGGGATGCACTCCCTGTCCCTGGCTTCTGCTCTCCTTGCCTCCCAAAATCCCATCATCTGGGGCTTTGCTGGGGTGGGAAAAATAATCCTGACAGACAAACCACTGGAGGTCCAGGCACAGGGAGGAGACAGCCACATGAAGCCACAGCTGGAATGCTGTTGGCTGGAGATCAGGTGGCTTTGGAGGCTGTGGCCTGCCCACCCAGCTGTTTCCCACTGTGCCATCAGACTGTGGAGAGAGCCTGGAGAAATTTTTTAGCCTCCAAGCACATCTCAACCAGCTCTTCCACCGGGAACGCTCCCCAGTGGAGTGGCTTAGGAGAAAAATTGCTGGAAGAGGACAGGAGCCCTGCTGTCCACACTCAGGAACCAAGCACTCCAGGTAGCGGGGGCCTCAGTGGAGCCTCCATGCCTCGCTGGCCACAATCCAGGACTGGTTGGGCTTTGAGGAAAGCCCCAGGAAAGAGGCGGCTGCAGGTTATGGCCTAGCTATCTCCATTCTGATCTCTGGTGGGCTAGGGAGGCCAGACTGTTGTGTGGTGCTCAGGCTTTCTTGCCAAGGTTCATCATCTTGACCCCTCCCCACATGCACATAAGAGTTCAAATCCCCAAGTACCAGTTTAAGACTGCTGAGTGCTTCAAAATCCCTAATTTCTCTGTAAATGAGGAAGCCAACCCCTACCAGGCCCAGTCACTCCAAACCAGATTCCATGGCCTGAGGCCCAAATTTTTCCCAATTTTAGAGAGACCACCAGCTTGTCCCTGTCCTGCAGGACCTGCAGGAGGGGGCCTGATACCAACTCCATTTCTGGGCAGCAAAGAGCACAAAAGCTGCTAGCCAAGAAGCCTGAAAAACTGACAGAGCAGAGTGGCCACCAAGGACACACTCCTCCTACTGGGTGCCTGTACCTCCCTCCTGGGGCTGCTTACCTGAATCCTGGGTGGATGGAAGGACATGGAGGCTGGTTCCCGGTGTCCAGGGTGCCCCTCGTGGGACTGGGCTGGATCTAGGGGGTTGGAAGGTGCTAGGAAATGAGGCAGATGAGGGTCAGGTGCCGCTCCTGTGAGCCATGGCAGGTGAGCTGGTGCTGGTGCCGCAGCCTTGGCCTTCCTCTGCCAGGAGGCAGGAGGCTACTGTGTGTGCCAGTCACACGGCAGGCAGCCCACCGGTCCCTTCCTCCTGCCTCCTGGGGACCCAGCTCTGCAGTCTGCAGTCCTTCCTGAGTCTGGGGACACTCCCATTCCCTCCGGAAGCCCCCCAGACCTTGTGTGACTCCCACTCTCACCCATATCCTGCCCATCAGCATCTGGCTCCTCCTTCACACTGCAGCTAAGCTGGGCAGACTTCTCCACGTGGGTGTCCTGTGAGGCCTCCCCAGAGGTTGCCCTGAGGAGCTCCACTGTCCCTGAAGGGTGGGAGCTCCCCAAAGACTCCTCCGTCTTCTGTGCTGCCGGGAGCACCACTTGCTTCAGGACATGGGATGTGATCTGAAGGGAAGAGGAAAGTCATAGGGGCTCTAGTTTGGTTCCTGACCCTCCAAGAAGTCAACGCTGGCCACACTCACCCAGCCCAGCAGCTGCCCAGGGTCATGCTGCAGGCCCTCGACCAGGGCTACGGCCTCCTCAGGGCTGCCGGGCCGCTGGCCCCGCACCCAGGCCTGGATCTCAGGAGGCAGCGTGCCCAGGAACTGCTCCAGCACCAGCAGCTCCAGCATCTGCTCCTTGGAGTGTGCCTCGGGCCGCAGCCACTGGCGGCATAGCTCCCGGAGCCGGGCCAGGGCCTCACGGGGACCTGCCACCTCCTGGTAGCAGAATCCCCGGAAGCGCAGGCGCGCTGCCTCAGGCTCCTCCAGGATAGCCACGGGGTCCACAGAGGGCAGGCGTGGGGGGCCCAGTGGGGATGGCATTGTCGTACCGGGTGTCTTCTTGTAGCCAACAAGAGAGACCTGCAGGAAAGGAGGGGTCAGAGTGCGGGCAGACAGGCCCAGCCCAGGGGGCTGAGGCTGGTTGAGGGAGGACCCTGGCCCAGGGATGCCTGAGGCTGGGAACGCTTCGTGGAGGGGTCACAGGAGCTGGCCGCTGACAGGAACTGTGGGCCGAAGGAAGCCTTGTGAATGAATGCTTGGGGGCAAGTTGTCCAATGGAGCTTCCGGGAAACTGCAGGGGGTGATGAAGAGGTAGGCAAAAGGAGTCATCGCGGGCTTCCAGGGTCTGACTCATGAACCAGGGAAAGGGACAGGCGGAGGCCGAGGGACAGGCAGCCAGGGACTGGGTGAGGCCATCATCCCTGGTGAGCGGGGGCAGCGAAGGTGGGAAGAGGCAGCAGCAGGATACGGGGCCATGCTGGGCTATGGCAGGGTGCGCGTCCCCACGATCTCCGGGACGTCGGGACACGTTGACTCAAGTGGGTCCCCGCGGGGGGCCGCTAGAAGTATGACGCACGTCTGTGCCATGGGCCGAGGAAGGGGCCGTGTGGACTCCAAGACACGTGCTCGCCGACCAGAGCGCACTGGGACTGACGCACACCGCCCGAACCAAGCACGTGAAAAGCGAAACAAAACAAAGCTACGAGTTGCGGACGCTGTGCCCCGACCGTCAAGAGGGTCTGGCATGAAGCAAGGCCACCTGCGGGGCCCGTCAGGCCAGCTAGACCCGGCCTGAGCCCCCGGAGTCCGTCTCCCAAAAGGGAGGGGACACAGGAGGGCTCGCCAGGGGAAAGGGAACGCCGGGCTGGGGGAGGAAGGGCCGGGCCGAGGCCGGGAGGTGGAGCGCGCAGGGCGCGTCGGGAGGTAGGCGGGCTCTCCCGAGAGCGGGGAGCCCCGGGCGGCCGGGTCCCCAGGGGAAGGAAAGAGCCGCGCCCAGCCCAGCGGAGCCCGCGCTCACCTCAGCCGCGGCGCGGCGCGGGCGCCCGGAAGCCCCTTCGGGGAGGGGGCCCCGCCTGCCCACCCCTCCGCGCGTTGCCATGGCGACGGCGCCCTGGCCAATCACGCGCCTGCTCGGCAGGAACCGCCCCCTCCCTTCGGACTACGTTTCCCGTGAGACTCAGCACGCAAGGACGGGCGCGGCCTCCGCCAGCGGACGCTCATTTCCAAAGGCCTCTCACGACTGAGAAGAGCTCCGGTCCTCTGAAGAGTCGCAGAGTTCGGGGGCTCCCTCCCCTCACTGGCGACCGCTCTTCCTTTGCATCCGAGCCCTAGACTCACCGACGGCCGTGATGGACGGTATGTTAGAATCCTGCGCATGTGCACAGTGGGCCCGGCGCCTATTGGCAGGTGAGGTGAAGGGGGAGGAGCGCGACCTTACGGCCATTCAGCGCTAGCGCCCCACCCAGGCCCCTCCCCCGCGCTCCTCTGGAGGCTTCGTTCTAGTCGCTGAGCAGTCCTCTTGGTAACCGCTGGAGGACATCCGCCCGCCTCCCTCTGTTTCCAAGGCAACGGCCAGAGCGTCGCCCGGTCCTCCCGCGAGGCCGGAAGTGACGGCCTGCGCAGTGTAGTTCGGCGGAGACGCCTCCAGGTGGTCCCAGGAGGAAGCAGGGTCCGGACCCGCAAGTCCGGCCTAATCTGTGGACTTTCTCCGCCAACCCCGGGAAGGATTCCAGCGAGGATGGTGCTGGGGTCCTTCGTTCGACCTCCGCGGAGCGCCCTGCGGACATCGAGAACGAGGACCAGGCTGGGCACTCACGCACACATGAGGAAACTGTCCCGTGATTTATACCCTCGGTGTCTGACATGTTTTCAGATGTCAGTACTGCAAAGTGAGGGATGAAGGCTTTTGCCCACCTTGTGGGACGCTGCCAACCTTCTACATGGGGTACCGGAACTAGTAACCGTTATCTTCAGTTTTTCTCAGCAGGCAAGAATCACACTGTGGGAAGGGATGCTTCGCTTCCAGAGATCAAGCAGCTGAACCATGGCTCATTCAATCCTAAATTGCATATGCCTGTTTTGATTTCTCGTGATACCTAGGAATGCCTAGCTGCGAGCACTCAATGAAGAGCAGTGGTCTTACACACTGATTGAAAGCTCTGAGCATCTGCATGGCTGGGGCCTGTCAACTCCTCTGTATGTCACCAGACTGAGCTGTTTTGTGTGTATGCGTGCGCGGGGGGAGGACTTAGATCGTTTCTCTGGAACTGTATGGATTCCCCAGAAATGACTCTTCCACCATCCACTCTGTGCGGAGAGCTGGTGCTCTAATAGCTTTGGTAGCTCTCCCCAAGTCAGCTTTAAGTCTCCTCTCCCAGGGGGCTGCTGGTTTGCATGCTTTCTGGAGTTCTGCAGTATAAGCCTGGTGGGACCTCTATCCACTTCCCCCAGTGCCAAATCAATATTTGGCTTTCTCTAAATCAGAGCTAGATCCCACATCTGCATCTGCTTCCAGTTCCAAAATGCCATTGCTGTGGACCCGTTTCACCATCCTCATTCTTGTGGGTTCATATTTTTAAACACTTTCATCTCTGTAGCTTCGGTGGGTTTCTGAACCAAGTGAGATGCATATGTTCACACCACCATCTTGCCCCAAAGAGCTCAAGGGCACTTTTACACTCAGCCTGTTCAGGATCAAGAGAAGGACTAGCCTGACAGGACAAGGCTCAACATGACCACAAAAGTTTAGGGGAGGGCAATGTAAGGCCCAAGACATGGGGGAAAGCAGGTAATTATGGTTACTGTTCCCGTAAGACCGGAGTGTGGGCCACTGACCAATCCTAGGTACTGGGAGGGGTGGGTTTGAGAAGGGTAGAGGAAGTGAGGCATAGCAGGGCCCAAGCACACAGGTGAGAAAGAGCTCAATGAAATGGGGAGGAGACTGGTGGGGAGATGGCATAGGACATCAGACCCAGCTCAAGGGGTCATGAGAGCTCCAGGGGCTTCAGTCCAAGACGCAGAAAAGGTTGGGTATGACTTGAGTACCCACTTGCTGTTTGACAGTTGCCTTTGCCCCTGAATCCCATGGGCTCCCAAGAACCATCAGAGTGGGGGTTTGTCTGCATTTCACAGCTGTGCAGACTGAGAATGGCACCCTCGTGATGCCATTCTAAGGGAAGGTAAGATGTGGGTGAGGCCGGAGTGTGCACCAGAGCAGAGGAGAAGGCATGGGTGCAGGAGGGGTGAACAGTGGCGTGGAGGCCTGTAGGGAACCAGAAGACCGAGCACAGAGGACCTGCATCTAAGGGTCTTTGGGACTGGGTTCAGCAAGAATCCTCTACTGGCAGCATTAGTGAGATTCCAGAATAAAAGGGGTCTGGCACTGCTGGGAGGGAGTGACACTGGGAGGGCGATAGGTCTGTGGGCATAGTATATGACACACAGCTGCCAAATCTTGGGAGGTGGTGGGACTGGAGGACCCACCAAACTGGAGTCAATCTTTCTGGCCACTGTTGGTGACCCCTGCCTAGAATCCCTGGCCGGGATGCACAAACACTCATATCCAGATAGCTAAGTACTATTTGGGGCCACCCCATGCAATCCACCCTGCCTAGATCTTCTGGGCTGACCCCACACCTCTTGCTGCCAAGGAGATAACAGGTATCACAGAAAGTCAGTGGGCCTCAGGCTACATATCTACCCTCTGGCCTCTCAAAGAGACATGGGTCAAAACCAAGTCCCTGCAGCTCTGTGACAACACACACTGATGTGCTAAGATGAAACAGGCATCAGACTGTTACCATGCACGTTTGACAAGTTTTTATCAGGAAACCTCTCTGGACTGTGCCGTTAAACCCTTCTGAACCATGACCTGGAGGCTGGGAGGGGAGGCTGAGGCTGTGGACTTCCACAGTGCTGTGCAAGGATTTACACAATGTGCATCCATTCCAACTTCTAATTTTTGCTCTTTCTTTTTTGTTTCCAAGTAGAGAGACCACTAACATCCCCGGGTGTGAGCACTGACGGCAGGATGGGCCCTGGTCTGCGAGGGCCACGGGGAGAAACAGGGGGTCCCACGTGGTCCCCTCCAAACCTGCTGTTATGATCCCCTCTCGTCAGGGCAGGGGGAATATAAAGGCTCCGGTAGCGGTGCCTTTGGTAACAACGGGACGTGGCCAATGCTGAGGCTCGGATGAGGAAGCGAATGAAAGAGCATGGCTCAAGAGCCATGATTCTTGATGTCTGTCTCCCGCTCCCCACCCCAGGGACCTCCCCCTCTGCTTGGCCCACCCACTGTGGGACTGCCATGAGCGGGCAGACAGGCCTGGCATCACCCAGCTCTCACACTGGCAGACCCGAGCACGGCTGTCAGAGCCCGGGGGCAGACTGGTGACCTGTCTGGTGCTGGGCCTGCGGCCTGGATTCAAGTCCTGGCTCTGCTGCGTACAACTCACATCCCCTCTCTCTGCCTCCATTTCCTCATCTGAGAAGTGCAGCCACAGCAGCCACCTCACGGGGCTGGCAACTGGCACACGTTGACCCTCAGCGAGATGCTGCCTTCAGAATCCCTCGGTAGGCCTGAATCTCTCTCCCTCTCTCGTCGGTTCCTTTCCCCAGAGGTGGAAGCCAAGACAGAGCCCAAGGGCAACACCAGGCCCCCACATGACCTCCTACCCACTGGGTCCGCTCCCAGGAGGCCCTGGAGGAAGTGAGGTCTTGGAAGAATATCCTGAGGGTCGGCCTGGCGGCCAGTTTGTGCATGGACAGGGGAAACTTCTGGGTCTGCCTCCGCAGCGTTCCAGCAGTCCCCCTCCTCACCTGAGCACCCACAGTCATAACAGGCATGAAACGGCACTCTATTGCCAAGTCTCTGCCCTGCCAAAGTCCCAGCATCCAAATGGGGAGAATATGCCCCTGCTATTTCTGCAGGCTGACCACTTAGGGTTGGCGTGAGCCGTGGCTGAAATGGCAAACGTCGTCACCATGTGCAGACGGAACCACAGTGCACACACGGGTCTTCTCCAAAATGTGGGTATGCAGGGAATGCGGGTGTTTTACGACAAGCCTGGGAAGGTTGGAGCTGTGAACTCAGGCTTCAGCAGGCTTCGAAACTGCGGCTGGACCTGAGGCAGAAGTGGACCCCGCTTCCCTCCCCAGTGAGCCCTCTGATGACACCACCGAAGAAGGCCTGGCCGGGGGGGTCAGGCCTGCCCCACGCCGGGGTCTGCGCACAGGTTTCTCTCCCGTGTGGATCCTCTGGTGGTGGAAGAGGGCCGGGCGCTCGCGGAAGGCGCGGCCACAATGTGCGCACACAAAGGGCTTCTCACCCGTGTGGATGCGTCGGTGGCTGAGCAACACCGCGCCCTTGGCAAAAGCCTTCCCGCAGTCCCCGCAGCGGAAGGGCCGCTCGCCCGTGTGCAGCAGCTGATGCTGCGTGAGGTTAGAGCTGTGGCTGAAGGCGCGGCCACACTGTGCGCAGGCGAAGGGCTTCTCGCCTGTGTGTACACGCTGGTGCTTGAAGAGTGAGGAACCCTGGCTGAAGGCAGCACCACAAAGGGCACAAGTATAAGGCTTCTCCCCCGTGTGCGTGCGCTCATGCTGAATGAGGTGTGAGTTGCGGCAGAAACGGCGGCCACACTGGGCACACGCGTAGGGCCGCCCGCCTGCATGGATCTTGCGGTGCTGGCTGAGGTTGGAGCCGTGGCTGAAGGCCTTGCCACACTCACTGCAGCGGAAGGA